AAAGTTCTAATGTCATTTTTCACAGAAACAGAAAAAACAATTGTAAAACTCATATGGGTCCACAAGAGACCTCAATAGCCAAACCATTCTTAACCAAAAAGAACAAAGCTAAAGATATCACACAACTGGATTTCAAAACATATTGCAAAGCTACAGTAATCAAAACAGAATGTACTGGCATAAAAACAGATACATTGACCAATGGAATGGTACAGAGTGCCCAGAAATAAACCTACACATCTATAGTCAATTTTGATAGAGGTTCCAAGAAGACAAAATGAGGAAAGGGCAGTCTCTTCAATAAATGGGAAAACTGGATATCCACATGAAAAAGGATGAAAAGTACCTTTATTTCACTCTTATACAAGAATAAAGCCAAAATGGATTAAAGACTTAAATGTAAGACATGACACTGTAAAGCCACTAGAAGAAAACATAGGGGGAAAGTTCCATGACAGAGTCTGGAACAATGACTTTTCAGATATAATCCCAGAAACACAGGCAACAAAAGCAAAATAGACAAATATAATTATATTGAACTAAAAAGTTTCTGGGCAGCAAAAGAAACAATAGAGTGAAGAGATAATGCACAGATTGGGAGAAAATATTTGCAAATTGTACATCAGATAAGGGGGCTAATATTCAAAATATACAAGGACACAAATTACTCAGTAACAAGAAAACAAATAAACCTATTTAAAAATGGACAAAAAACCTGAATAGACATTGCTCAAAAGAAGACAGAAGTAATTAACAGATATAAGAAAAAACTGCTCAATATCACTAATCATTAGAGAAATGCAAATCAAAACCACACTGAAATATCACCTCATACCTACCTGTTCAATTGGATTTAAAAAAAACCAAAGTTAAGTGTTGGCAAGGATGTGGAGAAAAAGATACCCTTGTATACTGGTGGTGATATTATAAATTAATACAGCCATTTTGGAATACAGTATTGAGCTTCCTCAAAAAAACTATAAAAAGAATTGCAATATAATCCAGCAATCCCACTTTGGGGTACAGTATATACCCAAAGGAATTGAAATCAGTATTTTGAAGAGATATCTGCACTCCCACCTTCACTGAAGAATTTTTCACAGAGCCAAGATATGGAAAAAACCCAAGTGTCTACTGAAGCATGAATTGATATTTTAAATGTCATATATATACACAATAGAATACTCTTAGGACTTCACACACACACACACACACACATACACACACAGTGAGAGAGAAAGAGAGAGAGAGAGAGGAAATTCTGGCATTTGTGACAAAGTGGATGAACCTAGAGGACATTAGGCTAAATGAAATAAGCCAGGCACCGAGAGACAAATGCCATATGATTTCACTTTTATGTGAAATCTAAAAAAGTCAAATTCATTCAAGTAGAGAATAGAATGGATCAGAGGCTGGCAATGATTGGGGCACAGGAGTAGACAAGGAAAGGGGAGATGATGGTGAAAGGGTACAGAGTTTCAGTTAGACATAAGGAACATAAGGAACATGATCTACTGCATAGCATGGTGACTATAGTTAATAATAATGTATTACATATTTTAAAACAGTTAAAAGAGGATATCAAATGTTCTGTGAGGGATATGTTAACTCACCTAATTTGATTATCCTACCATGTATACATGTATGAAAATACTACATTGGACCCCATAAATATATACAATTATTATTTGCCAATTAAAAAAGAAACTAAGGTCCATATAATTTAAATGAGGAGCATAAAGCTACAAAACTAGTTGGAGGCAGAAATGGCTCTGAACCCTTTTCCCTTTACTTTCAGACCAATGGAACATTGAGCACAGAATATTAATCACTGTCTTAGATGCTATGAAGCCAGTATTCTTGGTTTCCCAAAGCACAGGGAATAGAAAAATAGAATTCCAGTTCCCCAGAATGCAACTCCAAAGGAAAAATGTCATGGTGTTAGCACAGTTTTACTTGACTTTGGATGCCCCAGTAAACCTGTGAAATCACTTTAAATAATCTAAAGGCATGCAAATTCCACTCCGAATTGTGGGAATGAACTGGAAAAAAAAAAAAAAATCTACAAGTCTGAGCATTCCAAAATAATGGCCTAGCTATTTGAAGGATAAAAAACTCAAAGAAATTATGACCAAATAAGAAGATCACAGAGGTGGTATTCTTAATGCAGCAAAAATCAAGTTAGAATTTGATGATGCCTCTGGGGCACCAGAATACAGTGCTGTGCCAGAAATAGGTTTCTCAACTTTTCGGTTCTTAAATGGACTGAAGTGCCATCATCATACAGTGCCACATACATACAGATTGTACTACATTTGGAGTGTCCTTGTGAGTTCCTCCCATACAGAATATAATTTGGAGTGTCCCTGTGAATACATTTGGTGTCCCCCAGACATTTGGTGTCCTCTGGAATACATCTGGAGTGGCCCTCTGAGTTCTTCCCATGCAGAATATCAGAAAACATCATAACTGGTTACTCAAGCTATGCTCCTGGCTTTGTAGACCAGAGGAAAGACAATTTATATACATTGATATACAAAAGAAAGAACAGGGGATAGCCATACCTGGATCTGACCCATGGAGACCCCTGAATTCTACCTGACAAGGGCATAAAGTAGCGAATATCAAACTTTTTTCTTTAAAAGGCCATCTACTGGAAATTTTAAGCTGTGTTAAAAGTACACAATCCTGCCATTGTAGTACAAAGCAGCATGAATGAATGTGACTGTGATCAATAAAACTTTATGGACACTGAAATTTGAATTTCAAATACTTTTCATGTGTCATGAAATGTTATTCTTCTAATTTCTTCTTAGCCATTAAAAAATATAAAAACAATTCTAAGTTCATAGGCCATTCAAAAACAGCATTATCTCAAATTTATGCTTCAACAATTATAAATCATTTTAAACTCATTTGTATTTTGAGCATGCATGGCCACTTTGATAATAAGGTCTACATACTTACTTTCTAGTGTGATATATAGTAGGGATCAGAAAGTAACTCTGTTGGCTTGGAAGGCTGAGATTTGGTAGATAAGTTCCACCCTGACTTTGGAGGGTGGTGATGTAGTATAATGATTAAACACATGTGGCTGACCTTTTCGGAGGGTCAGTTGGATGTATCCCAGAGATCACCCCAGGAATGCATTTTCTGGTTCCGACCAACCTCTCCTTCTAAAACACCCCTTTGAAGACGTTGCTTTAGTAAATCCTAATAAAACACACTGTGTGGAAGGTAAGAGAAGAAAATAAATAGGGATATAGCAATGCTAGGGCTAACACATCACTTACAAGTTTCTGAATAGGTTATCAGATCATGGGTTAATTATTTGTAAATATTGGTAAATAAAAAGTATTTATAAATATATGTATATTTTTACAAATATATATACACAAATAATTATTTATTTATTTATTTATTTATTTATTTATTTACTTTGGGACAGGGTCTCACTCTGTCACCCAGACTGGAGTGCAGTGGCATGATCACTGCCCACTGAAGCCTCAACCTCCTGGGCTCTGGTGATCCTCCCACCTCAGCCTCCCAGGCAACTGAAACTACAGGTATGTGCCACCATGCCCAGCTAATTTTTGTATTTTTGGTAGAGATGGGATTTTGCCCTGTTGCCCAGGTTGGTTTAGCACTTCTGGGCTCAAGCAACCTTCCTGCCTTGACATTTCAAAGCACTGGGATTACAGTCGTAAGCCACCAAGCCTCGACAAATATACTTTTAATATAAAGAACGATTATATAGAACTTTCAATAGCAATCCCCAAAAATTCTGCTTGAGACTAACTAGAATATAGACTGTTATTTATAATAGTTTTTTCTTACCAGTGACTATCACAAGTAGAAAATTGAAATTAAAATCTCTTGCTATTTTCTGTTTATTCTATGATCTCCTGAAGTGTGAGTTTAAAATGTTTCTTTCAGTTCAGATTTGATTGAACATTCTGTGGAGCACCCACTCACTGCAGATAAAAGGTGAAAAGGCTTCCTTCCATTCAGGTTGCTCAGAGGGCAGACACGCCTCATTTTAGTCATCCACTATGAACTGAGTGACAACTTATTGCTATAAATATCTCCAGATCTCCTTTCCTCTCTGCTCCAACCATAGTTCCTGCCCCTATATCCTCAGAATTTCCCCAGTGCCCTATGAATTCATTTCCTCAGTGTCTCTTACTTTATTTAACTCTCGCACGAATTCCCAAAGCCCATGTTACAAGGAGGAAGATTCAGCTGGGCAGGATCCCAGGAGATCTAGGGCTGGTTCTAAACTGATGACCTTTTAGCACATGTCTCTTACTTCTGCACTCAGACCCAAAATAACACCCTGGGAGGAAAGAACGCATAGAGCAGGCGTTAGATACAAAATAAAGAAACATCACCCACCAGTGACTGTTACCTGAAATTGTATGTTTATGCAAGTAGGGGATGATTTTGGCCAATTTATCTCATTTCAAGGAAGATAAACCTTCACTACAGTTCTGATTGAAGATTCCCATTGAAATCATAACCTGAACTAAACAACATAAAGGAATAAATATCTAGTTCCAGGGGATTCAATTTTCTCAATTTTTCTGAGCAAGGGGTCTATTGAAACTTTGATCTCATAGCAGCTGCTACACTGGTCCCCAGGAGGAACTCAAGGACTCTACTTTTGAAGTGTCATACACAACTTTTCCTTGCTATGAAGAAACATATACTTTCCAGCCACTACAAAAGTGAAAACATTCCCCCGACTCTCCCTGGAGAATACATGCACAGAAAACTGAATTCATCTGTTCTGGTGCTGCTTGGAGGTATGAAAAATAAAGTAAAAAAGAAAAAGAAAACTGTATTCAAAAGGAAAACAATAACCATTATTTTCTAAGACAATAGTATATTTGCTTCTTAAAATGTCAATAGTAAATTCTTAGGAGAAATAGTTGTTACTTTATTTTATTGAAACTACCGGTAAGATCAAGTTTAGCCGGAACGGTGAATTGGATCTTTACCTTCAGCATTGGCCCAGCCTCCTCTCTGGGTAGCTCACATCTGTTTTGGCAACCCCATTCCTCTGAAGCACTTAGAGCTTCATGGTCTTCTTCCAACCCCCAAAGAGCTGCCAAGCCTTTAAAAAGAGAATAGTCGTTGATGGATTATATAAAATTGAAAGTCAAATTCACTTTGACCCTGATAATATCATAATTCATTTATTCTGGAAAGAAAAAAAATAATAGTAATTTGTTGCTTACTGTTGTGGAGCTGGGAAGTTCAAGCTAAAGCTCCCAGCAGATTTGGTGTCTGGTTAGAGCTCATTCCTCATAGATGTTGCTTTCTAGGTGTCCTCACATGGAAACGGGGCAGACTCCCTCAAGCCTCTTTCATAAGGGCATTAGTCCCATTCATGAGGGTGGAGCCCTCATGACCTAATCACCTCCGAAAGTCTCTACCTCTTAATACTCTTGCATTGGAGATTAGGTTTCAACATTTGAATTTTGGTGGGACACAAACATTCATATCGTAGCAAGAGGCATACATAAAATAAAGCTAAAGCGCATACAAATCTGTGACTTACATAGAAAAACATATACTAACTTATAAAAACCAAAATTGCTATATATAGTTATATTAATGTCAAACAAAATAGACATTATAACAAATGACCTAGTGCTACAGGTGTTAATATGGTTGATTCTTACAAATATAATATCAAGTTACAGAAAAATACATACAGAAAAAATGTATTTATATAAAGTTAAAGAATATACAAAATTATTACATAATGTTTGGCAATGCTTATATATGTCATGAAGTAATAGGTGAGGAAACACAACCAGCCTTGGCAGTTTTTGCCTGGCCATGCATATTCATGGTATTATTTTCTATATTCTTTGGTACGTTTTATATTATTAATTAATTTCCTCTGTATTATACATTGGTATACCTGGTATGTGTATATATATATATGTGTGACACATACACACACACATATATTCATAATATATCTTTTAAATAAATAAATGGAAGTAAAAAATGTTAACATTTTGATTTGTTTTAAAAATTATGACTGTGTTTTTAAACCAGAGGAGCTTTCTGGCAACATCATCTGGAAATAAAACTGCACTTGCCAGCTGCCTTTAAATTATCCTGCTCATTTTCTCTATCTTTCAGACTTGTAATCAGAGACAGATCTGGACATGTGAGTTTTACTTTTCCACTGTACACTTATAATTACTACCAAAATAGTTATACTCTCTGATGGGCTCCAAACGCATTGCCTAAAGCTTATTGCTTAGTGGGTTTACTTTCTAAATTGTTTGTTCCAACTGATCCTCTAAGAGTCAAAGACACAGGGATCTAAAAGATGAAATAACCAAAAATTATCTGCTTGAGTATTTCCTGGGCCAAGTCAATCAGTGCCTCTCTCTCTCTTTCTGCCTCTCTCCTTTTTCTTCCTCATGCTCTGTCTCTCTCTCTCTCCTTTTCTTAACATAGAAAAGAGAATGAAGAAACAGGAACTATGTGGCCCTGGTCCCCCTGGCACCCTTTCCACAATGCAATCCTTAGCTCATCTGTCTTGTGTTTTACCATGAGGACTCTGGGAGCAAACTGATCACTGCATGCTTCCTGTATGCTCCAGTCAGGATCTAGCCAAAAATGGAATCACAATTCACAGCTAATGTATAGGAATAAAAGCTGCTATTTTTCCTATCAGATGTCCTATAAATTGTAGTTTATTTTCCCAGTAGATTTATACAAGTTGAACTTTATTATTATTGTTTTTAACTGGTTTGAGTACATATGTTTTAATAAGTCATTTGGTCATAAGCAGTCCATACCTTGTGAACCAAACCACATGGTGAAACAGGTTATGCAAACCTAATTAGTCCTACTGGGAGTTTGAGGATGCATAATTGACTCTCTAGATGCCTCACTGTAGCGTCATTATGTGGCATTTTTCTATGATGTGGTTGGAAAGGTAACATATATTTTACCCTTTTCCATGATTAGGAAAATGGCAACAGGGGTCAATTTTAAGTCATCTCAATTCATTACATATTTCCCAATTAATGTGAAGAAAGCAGTTCATGATACACTCAAACATTTACCTGTTTTTGCAACTGTGTTTGTTAAATTGTGTAGCTATGTTTGCAATATTTTTTAAACATTAAAAGAACTTGGCCCGGCGCGGTGGCTCACGCCTATAATCCCAGCACTTTGGGAGGCCGAGGTCGGTGGATCACGAGGTCAGGAGATCGAGACCATCCTGCCTAACACAGTGAAACCTCGTCTCTACCGAAAATACAAAATTAGCCGGGCGTGGTGGCGGGCGCCTGTAGTCCCAGCTACTCGGGAGGCTGAGGCAGGAGAATGGCGTGAACCCGGGAGGCAGAGCTTGCAGTGAGCTGAGATTGCGCCACTGCACTCCAGCCTGGGTAACAGAGCGAGACTCTGTCTCAAAAAAAAAAAAAAAAAAAATTAAAAGAACTGAACATCCAAAAATGAGGGCTTTATTAAGTAAAGTAAGGCATATTCATGTAATAGAACATCCCCTTAAAATAATGTTTTAAAATAATATTTACTGGCAAAGAAGCAGGTTCATAATATATTGCTAAACAAAAGAAGCATGATGTCTTTATGTTTACAAATAACAATAATATGAAATCTGAAGAATACACAGTAAGATGAAGATAACAGTGATTACTTCCAGGCTGTTGTTGGTATAAGTGACTTTTTAATTCTATTTTACTTACCTATATCTTTCAATTATTTCTGAACAATCGTATATTCAAATATTACCTGTGTAAAAAAAATAAAACAAAGAAATCTACTTGATTCAAAAACACTTACATTAAAATATGGAATGGGACATTCAAGCATAAAGAAAGTTCTGATTTTTAAAGATGGAATAGCACTTCAGAATGTAAAACCTCAATTTTCTTCCTCCATTAGGTACATGAGAAAAGGGATCACTGATGATATGATTTGGCTGTGTCCTCACCCAAATTTCATCTTGAACTGTAGTTCCCATAATCCCCACATGTCATGGGAGGGTCCTGGTGGGAGGTAATTGAATCATGGGGGTGGTTACCCCCATGCTGTTCTCATGATAGTGAGTTCTCAATGAGATCTGATGGTTTTATAAGGGGCTTTTCTCACTTTTCTTGGCACTTCTCCTTCTTGTTGCCATGTGAAGAAGGATGTGTTTGCTTCCCCTTCTGCCATGATTGTAAGTTTCCTGAGGCCTCCCCAGCCTTGCTGAACTGTGAGTCAATTAAACCTCTTTCCTTTATAAATTACCCAGTCTCAGGTAGGTCTCTATTAGCAGTATGAGACAGAACTAATACAATTGGTAACAAGAAGCAAAATTACTAGAAAACTTTGAGTCAGCCATTTCCTTAAGTAAGATTTATAAGATAGTACCAGCTGAAGTAGGGACTAGAAGAGATTAGTCAAATCAAGCAGCTACTAATTAATTCAAGGGCCAAATATCCTTATTATTCTGATTTACCAACCATCCAGATAAGGTATATTCAAAGAACTTCATAAATTGTGACAGTTGTTAACAATCGGATTGGACACTTGGGAATGTCCAAGGTAAGGATGGAGCCTCCAGCTTGAGAAAGAATGGTGATATACCTCTTAGTATAGAATTATTTTTATGGATTTTCGCTTAATGAAAGAGCACATGGCCTTAGGCAATGCACTTTGATACATGTGGTAAAAATAACTATTGTAATTTTTTTTTTTTAATTTCTTGGATTAGGTGGTTCTTCCTCTGAAAAGAGATGAGAAATTTTAAAAGATAGTGGTTTGTATTCAAAATGGGTTAGCATTTATAAAAATGAGATTTGCCTTTCTTCTAACATTATTATATTAGTAGCATGGTCATCTAGGTGCCTTGGAATAGTGGTAAACTCTACAGATATAAATATACATATAAATAAATGAATATTTATATAAATATATATATATAAATATATACTAAGGATTATCATAAATATTTTCTTAAAATCTGAGTATTTTCAATCAGTTTTTGCATTTACCTAATAGTCTCTGTAAGATCTCTAAGCTTTAATAGTTCACTTACTTTGGCTGAGTGAACTTCTGAAATGCACTCCAAACTTTTGAAAACACCAATATGATCCTGTCCCTCACACCAACTACCTATGCTTAAAAAACATAACTGACTCTCCATTATTAAAACAGAAATTCTTAACTTTATGGTGAGGTTGCAGATTTACTCACACAACATTCAGATATGTAAAAAAAAAAAAAAAAAAAAAAAAAAAAACCCTAATAAAATAAAAATATAAAAAACTCCTTTATTTTCAATTTACTGTTCTGGTCTTCAAATACCTCATCAGTAAAATACCTCATTTACTTAAAAGACCTCATCTTCAGAAGTATCAGAGGAAAAAGAATCTGGTAAGTCAAAAGATGGAGAAATTTTGATGCATGCTCATTTAAACAGTCTCTAAGTAACTTAGGCTGTTTAAATGAGCCAGGAAAATCCCAAATCAGAGTTTTTCCCCTCTCTTAACCTTCCTCCTAGGTGACAATGAAGTTTATGAGAAAAGTAAAGATAACACAAGAACTCATGCTGCTGGAGGATGGAGAAATAAGACTGTTTGAAAACCCTCAGAGTTCTGTGGGTCCTGGCTGACCTGTGCATGAAGTGGTTGTTATAGGACTCTCCCAGTAGTTATCATAAAGTGCTACTGTTCCCATCATCCTTCTTTTCTGCTAGCCTTGACCATACCAAATCCCCAAGTACCATGCCCTCTTTGCTACATGCTGGACTCTCCAGGTCTCCCAGTTCACCTTGTACCCTCAATATCAAGATAGCAGGCTGAGCATTGTGGCTCATGCCTGTAATCCCAGCACTTTGGGAGGCCAAGGAGGGTGGATGACCTTAGGTCAGGAGTTCAAGACCAACCTAAGCAACATGGTGAAACCCTGTCTCTACTAAAAAATAAAAAAATTACCAGGCGTAGTGGTGGGCACCCATAGTCCCAGCTACTTGGGAGGCTGAGGCAAGAGAATTGCTTGAACCTAGGAAGCAGAGGTTGCTATGAGCAGAGATTGCACCACTGAACTCCAGCCTGGGTGACAGAATCAGACTCTGTCTCTAATAATAATAATAATAATGATAATCAAAATAACATAAGGATGCTTCTGTGTCTCTTTTATGTCACATCCCCTGCTCCAAGTAAACAGGTGCCTTATGCTAGCATCTACACATTGTGTACATGAAAAGGCAAAGAGAAAACGATGCATTAATATTTTTCAAATTGGAAAATCTGCTGGCTGCTAGTCTACTCCTCTGGTCTCATCTGGCAGCATGTAATTCTAGCCACATAGGTGTTTTATCAGTCTTTCAAACTTCCATTTCCTGCCATGATGGAATAACAGGGACTTAATTTACCCTTCCATGTGAAACAACCACAAAAGTGAACAAGACATAAAACAATGGTTTGTAGACACTGGTAGCACAGGATTGCAATTCCTGCAACAAGGAAAGCAACCAAGGTGAGCCCTGTAGTTGGATCAGTTCACTGCCTGAAGAGTTTCCAGGCTGCAGTACAGGGAGGGTGCAATGGTTTGAATGTGTCCTCTCCAAAATGTAGGTGTTAAAACTTACTGGCCAATGTGAAAGTATTAAAAGGTGGAGCTTTTAACATGCAATTAGACCATAAGAGCTCCTCCCCTGTGAGTGGTATTATGGCCCTTATAAAAGATGCTTCACACTTGCCCCTCCACCTTCTAGTTTTCCTCCCCTCAGAGAATGCAGCAATAAAGCACTATCTTGGAAGCTGAGAGCAACCCTCAGCACACAATAAACTTGCTAGTGCCTTGATCTTGGATTTTTCAGCCTCCGGAACTGTGAGAAAATTAATTTTTTTCTTTATAAATTACCCAGTCTCGTATTTTGTTATAGCAGGACAAAATAAAAAAAGATGAAGAACCTAGAAGTCCATTGACTTCCCTGAGTTGAGGAGATGGAGCTGAGAGTTCAAGAAGGCCAAGGAAGCAAGAGTTCACAAGGCTGTCAAAGCTGTCAGAATCAAAATGGAGTTACTTGTGTCATGCGCTGACAAAATGGACCTGAGGAAGGCCATGAAGGGAGGGCTCTCATGCATGTTTGTCTGATAACAACAACTAGAAAAACAGACTGCAAAAACCACAACCTTGCACAAAGGTCACCACAACCTTGTCCAGTAAATACTTCTGCAAGGGCGTCTGCCCAGCAACTTTCTGTTTAACCTTGGACTGATTTGCCCTTTTTATTGATCTTTGTAGCCAAGGATGATTGATTTAAAAACAAACAAACAAACAAAAAAACCTAGGTAATCCTCCTCATTTGCCTTTAAAAACTCCGCATTGCCTCAACCTCTTTGAATATGCACAAATTTACATAGTGTGCATATTCCCATTGCAATGCTACTCCTGAATAAATACTATTTTCTTTTATAGAGTCTCCCTGTATGTTATTTAGTTGGACAGGGCAGACTACTGCAGAGGAGAGAACTATAGAGAAAGAAAAGAAAGCGCAGAGATCTGCAGACGATCCCCCTTGGGTATTCAGGCAAATATTGATCAGGATATGCATGTGAGCAAATTATCCAAGGCTGGAAAAAGAAACACCCAAGGATCAGGGGAAATAACCCCTAGGGCTCACCCAGAGCTGAGAATAGCTTGTGTGCCCACCGGTGAGACTGGAAACCCTCTTAATTCAAAGGGCATTGGATAGAATACTAAAAACATTACTACCTTACTAAAAGGTCAAAATTGGCTACTGAAGGCTACTCTGGTCCCACTTAACAAATCTTAAGAACAAAAAGCAGAAGCAAACTGTTTCTATGTAATTTAACAGCATCCTAGGACAAAATTCAAGAATATGCATAGAAATACAAAAATATTAAACTCCCAAAAAGGTAAAATTCACATTTAAGAAGCAGGAATATATAGCCCATAATAAAGACGAAAATCAATCAATAAAAATAGACTTAGAAACAATACAGATTTAGTAGACAAGAACATCAAATCAGTTAATATAACTACATGCCATATATTCAAGAAGATTTAAGCATGCAAACACATGGGAGATAATGGAAAAGGACTCAAATCAAACTTCTAGAGCTTAACAATGCAATGTCTGTTATCATCTGAACACAAGTCCTTAACACATACTGTTGTCTCTGTCTGGACACTTCATTTGCTAAATTCTTACACTGTTTCCCCTCCCACTTCATTTGCTAAAAGTAAACCTTCAGATTTCATCTCTATCATCACTCTCTCAAGGAAAGTTTGTCTGGTCTGCAAGTTATATATCACATCCCTTGGCTAAATGATGTTGTGGCGCCAAATACCATTTACTGTCCTTATCACAAATATAATTTTACATTATTAGTGTAATCTCTGTCTTCATCACTATTCAAGCACCATGGTGACACAATTCATGTTCAGTTTTCTTCACTATTGTCTAGTGCTTAGCATAGTGCTTGTAAATCCAAAATTGCAGAGTTTTAAATTTGTCAGCTCAACTCTATGAGTCTTAATATTTCAAACTAGGAACATCTGTATATATTTAAAAAAATGTAGTCAGCCTTTTGGATGCAGAGAACTAACAGGTTTCCCCTCTTAATAGCTCCTTTAGTTAAGAAAACACAAAGTTTTTGCATTTCTTTAGCTGCGGTACCCAAGAGATACATAGAATTATACCTTTGGTTCTGAAGCAGATAGCCCTAATCTTTAATCCTATTTAATCCTATATTTAAATTTTAATTTAAATGTAATCTTTTAAATTGTGGGGAAGGATTAATGGTATTAAATGTCTTTTATGTTCCTATATTAATGATTTGCACTTGGAGTTTTCTGAAATATTAGAAACATTTGCTGCAATGAACGAAGCCGGAGATAAATGCAAGTATTACCGAAGGCCA